CGCACTGCTACAGTGCGCCGCCTGGGAAGCGCGGCAGCGCTCCCGCCGAGGGTTCGGATCCCACATACAGACCGGCCGCTCACTGGCTGAGCGAGGTGCGGGAGCAACACCGAGGGTTGCGATCCTGTTGCCGGTCTCGGTCCAGTATGGGCGCGACACTGAGGGTTGCGATCCGTTGCCGGTCACGAAAAAAGACAAAAAAGGGAAAAAAAAAAAAAATCAGTGCTGGCAAGAATGGATATTCCTTGACATGATGTTGTTGGATGGAATTTGGATTGCAGCAGCTTTTGTTTTTTGGTGGTAGGGATCCAAACACCTAGACCTTGGCGTTGTAACATTGCGCTTTAACCAACTGAGCTAACCAGCCAGCCCCATTGCTGCAGCTTTTTAAGGAAAGGATCTGCTAGAGCTGTTGACATTTAAAATATGCATGCCCTTTGACCTGCCTTCCATTTTGGTGATTCTGCCCTACAGAACTAAAAGTACCTGTACAAAAGGAAATGTCTACAAGGATGTTTAAGAAGCATTGTTTGTAGTGGGCAAACCCAGCAGCAAAGCAAATGCCCCTAACAGGGGAGTGTTTGCAGAATTTTGGTGCCTTCTTTCCATCCAAGAGAATAGTAAACAACTATCATAAAGAATGATTTACACTGAAATGTAGTGGCACAAGGGACTCCCATGAATTTTTTTTTTTTTTTTTTTCAAGTGCCTGGCGGGAAAGGGGATCTGAGCCCTTTGACCTTGGTGTTATAACACCATGCTCTGACCAGCTGAGCTAACCAGCCAGTCCAAGTGTTTGTTTAACCATGTACTTTTGTTTTTTTCTTTTTTTTGGCGGCTGGCTGGTGTGGGGATACAAACCCTGGACCTTGGTGTTATCAGCACCATACTCTAAACAACTGAGCTAACCAGCCAGCCTTCATGAAGCACTATTAATTTTCAAAAATTGCAAGTTACAGAATAGCATGAATATTTTTTTACAAAAATTAAATTACATCAAAATTAGAGTTCCTGTATGTGTGTTGACTGTTAACTTTGGTTATCTGGGCAATGGCAGGGGTAGAGTGAAGGGGTGGTAGATTCTTAGAAAGGGGTTGTCTTGGTCAGCTTGGGCTGCTGTAACAAAGTACCTTAGATAGAGTGGCGTAGAAACAACAGAAATTTGTTTCTCACAGTTCTGAAGGCTGGAAATCTGGGATCAGGAGGCCAGCGTCGTTGGGTTTTTGTGAGGACACTCTTCTGGGTTGCAGACTGCCGTCTTCTCCTTGTACCCTCATATGGTGGAGAGAGCTAGCTAGCTCTCTGGCCTCTTTGTGTAAGGGCGCTAATCCCATTCATGAGGGCTCCAACCTCATGACAGTTATCTCCCAAAGGTCCCACCTCCTAACACCATCACACTGGGATTAGAGTTTCAATGAATTACTTTTGAGGGGACGCAAACATTCAGTCCTTTGCAGACATAGAGGGCAGGATTTTTTTTTTTTTTTTTTAAAGATGACCAGTAAGGGGATATTAACCTTTGACTTGGTGT